GCAGTACAAAAATGGGGTGGGGCACTCAGCAAGCAAAGCAGCCACGGCTCCTAAATTTCCCTGGTGAAAATGTTAGTGAATTTTATGCAAAATAACGGCAGATAGTGAACACGAAGAAAACGTTTACCGACAATGCGGTAAAATCAGGCGGCATAGAAAAACCTCTTTATCAACAAAAAAAACTAATCAGCAATAGAAAAAAAAAAAACAACAAAAGTCAACAACATTCATACAGGAAACAGCAACTGTTAGAAAAAAAAAAAAAAAATTAGAAAAAACAGAAAGCGATAACAAAAAAGAACTATTACAGTAAAAGACTATACATAAAAAAACAACTTCAAAAACCGACACATAAAAAATAACAGTAATACATAAACACTAACAGTAATACATTATTTAGTAATATAATAATCATACAAATATTAAGCAAAAGGCAATTGCTTAGTCATACAATACCAATCATATATAGAAATTTAGTAATTATAGCAAAAAACAATATTAACTAAACCAAAAAATCTAACAATTATAGTAAAAAACAATAATTACTGTAACAGAGCTACAAAAAAAAATCTTAATTCTCTATCTTCAGCTGGACACAATTCAGCGGTTGCTAGGTCCACCAAAAATAAACTATTTCCATTTTCATCCCTTAGCTTCGCCTGCAAGAAAAAACGACGTAAAACAACTTAAAATAAAACTACTATTTTAAATTATCGACTTTGTCAGTTCTGCCCCTCCATATCCAACCAGAGCACATCACGTTTTTAAGGAAGATATGTCACCAAAATATATATATGGAAGTAACTGGAGGTTTTTTTGGAGTTAAATCGACGGCGACAAGACCGAGATCGACGTGCATATCTACGAGATATTAGAGAAAATTCAAATTATCTTGCCACTGTAATAGGTTCCCCGAGCTCTGAACACAGCTAACATGGTCTCATTTACATGGAATGCGACGATGTACTACAGGGGCCGGCATGATGGCCTGAACAACAACCGAGTTCCCCTCACTTGCTCCGGGCAATCCGCACTAATTTCCTCGAGATCTGAGCAAAAAATTAATGAGGAACAGCTATGTGCAGTAGAGACGTATGAGAAAACTATAAGGGACCG